ATTAGTCGTGTTTTATTCACATCCATATGTGTTGAATTTGAGAACTTCAATGCCATGGAATACCAAAGGAAGGCTTCACAATGGTTGGCTAATTGGCAAAAATTATAAATTGCTAGAATGACACGTCCAATTGAGCAGCTGTACATCATGCAAATTCAGCTCTTCAAAATTCTGTGATTGTCTCTAAGAACAACTCGTATCCATTACTTTCCAGATATGAGACAAAGAGGCTTGACATGTTAACTAAACAACACATGTCAGTGGCTTTCTGCTGATTTAATTCTTAATATGTGCGCAGCATATGAATCCATCTAGTTGACTGACGGATTAGCAGAACTATTTTCTGAAGGAAAACAACAGAACTTACCTCCCTAGTGTAAAATTTCACAGCAAAACCTCGGATGTCCCTGAGGGTTTCAGGACTTCCACGCTCATGAACAACAGTTGAGAAACGGACAATGACAGGTGTCTGAACTCCTGGAGCACGAAGAAAATCAGCACAAGTGAGATTAGAAATGTCATGAGTGACCTCAAAGAAGCCCTTGGCACTGGCTCCCCTGGCATGAACGACACGCTCCGGAATCCGTTCACGGTCGAAATTTGCAAGTTTCTCCACCAAATGATAATCCTCGAGAAGAACCGGACCTGGCACATGAAGAAGACGAAAAGCTAAATACTTGTAATCACAAAATGTCATATTAAAATAAACCAGGTGGTCGTCACAATAAAGTTTCAATATCAGAATATTAAAAGTAAAAACTAATTGTATGTCTACATTCAGGACTTCTTAACGTATTTATTTTATTAAAAAACCGGAACTTTCTGATAAAGATCTCATGGCATTTAGAATATAGAGGAAACAAATAGATATAGGTAAAACCAAAATGAGTTTTGTGAATTTTGTATTTTTCAAGCTGCTGCATCTAATGAGTAAGAAATAACAGCAAGTCATAACACATGATTCAATCCCAAAATAAACCAAATAATGACATTTCTAACAAACGGGGGATAAAGTTGCATAAACAATAAGAATCTTAGATCATAGAAAAGAAAGGAAAGAAAACAGTAAAAGCACCTCTGGTTCCAACGGTGAGAGAGGAGTTATTGTCCCAGACAGGGGCACCTGAACTGGTTGTCCAGAAGGGAGAATTGAAAGCACTCGATGGCCGATGCTACACAAATCACATACATTAGAATTAACTAAAACACGTTAAACCTCAGCGTTACTATAAAAGATATGAACTTTGGACTTTTCACAGGAAAAAAAAATTGATATTTTCATTTTATCTAATCGAGTGAGAGCTAAGCATAAAAAAGTAAAAATGGAAGCTAAGAATTACGAATTTTTTTCTCAGAATCGATTACTGGCGAAAGAAAAAAAAATGAGCTGCTCAGAAATCCGTGATGGCCATGGAAAGCAGCAAAAATAGACCTCGACTTCGACTTCAAAAATGAACGACTTCACTATCAGCTCGTCCAAATTACATGAGCAGAAGGTGCAGAAATATTACCTTGTATGGATCCATTGCTATAGCCAGAGAAGGCGGGGGGCAGTGGGTGGAGATAGATTTTTGGCTGGGGAAAAAGAAAGGCGGGAAGGGGGATAGATGGGTGAAGATGATCGTGTGGCAATCACGGTCTTTCAACAAAACCAAAAGACCCGCCTATTTATTTACAAAAGTCCCGAGGCTCGCATTTCTGTCAGATCCACTACCCGGTACCCCACTGCCCATTCCAAGAGCCAATCCTTTTTTTTCTTTTTTATTGCTTCTACAAAGTGAAAAAAAAAAAAAATTTCATTCGTAAGTGAATTTCTCGGGTCAAGATACAATCGCCAATTTAAACTTTCCCCATCATGACCCTATTGTCCAAATTCCTAGTTTTTATTTGGATATTTTTATAGGGTTCCCTCGAGCACTCGTTCATATATTTAAATTTCATCTAATCTATCATATATATATATATATATATATATATATATTGATAATTATTATCTTGTCTTTCATATATGCACTTCCCCTAAAGTATATCTCAAGCCCTGTTTATTTTAGGTAGTTCAATTTCGTATCTATATCAATTCTATTTTGAAACAAGAAATTTACAAGAATCTATATCAATGTGTTTCCCGAATTATTCTTGCGATATGAGAGAGACAAAAGGTAATATTAATAGTCTTATCTTTCATTTGATATACTACTTAAGTTCTGTTCCTTTTTCTACAAATTCACAAACGAACATAAGTATTTTATGATCGTGGCAATGTATTATATCTAATATTCCACTATGATTTTAAATTGAAAACCAAAAGTAGTTCAATGTCTTTAAAGGCAATCTGATAATTGGGGAAGGAAATTACATATTTATTATTAAATGATTTTGCTTTTATTCATAATATGATACATAAATCTCATTGAAAACCTACTTGATATTGATAATAAGTTCCTCACATAACCCACTTGTCCTCATCTAACTTGCTAAAACTTAATTAAATGCCTTGACAATCTCAAAGAAAGCTCTTTGCATGCATTTGCATATTTGCTTGATGTCTCGAATTAGATAGGGTACTTATCGATGAATTTGTCCAAAATACGCTCATCAACATTGGTAATAAAAACTGTTACGCGAATACACAGTTTTAAGACACTTTCTCTAATATAATTTTGAAAAAATCGTTCAAAATATTCTTCATATTCAATCAAATAAAATTTTCCGTCGTTTTATATTTAAAATATTAACTTTATGTCCTATTATAAATTTAACTGAGTAGAATGTGATCTCAAAAACTGGCTAAATAAACTCATCATTCAACCTTTTTATCGTTTCTTTTGATACATAATCAAAATACCACGATATCTCGGCTGCATTATATTATCACGACATCTCGGCTGCATTATTTCATTCAATTTATAAAAGGGGTCTTTGGGTAAACCTGATCTACGGACCCACCAGTAAACCGAGTGATCCAAAGTATGTCATCAATTGCATTAGGTTCTTGTTCCTTGAAGCCATCTTATCCTCTCCCCAGCCTCTTACCATTTCTTCCACCACCATCCGAATCTCCTCCTCCCCTTTTATCTCATCAAAACCAAGATCAAGTGGAGCGATATTTAATCACGTTACCCTAAGAATTCCACAACCCTTTTGTGTTTCAACTCCAAAAATTTACAAAAAAAAAAAGAGAAAATGTCTCCGGATTTTTTTTTTATGAACCCACTAGTTAAATTCATAATCACGTAATCATAAATAAGCATCATCATATGGTGGGCTATGGACTTGTGGGTGAGAATGGATTAGTGCCAAGGAGGCTTGATGGTAAGCTCAAAATAAACAAATTGTTGGCCGTTGCTCAGGATCCATGGATGTGATGGGGGAAGGGCAGCAAAACAATCAAAATAGTCACGGAGATAGCGCATCAAACGAATCGGGTTTGTTTGGATAGTGTATTATTTGAAATATTATTTGGAATAATTACTGTAATATTTTTTGTGATGTGATGTATGTGAGATAAAAAGGTGATTGATAATATAAAAAGGTGAATTGAAAAATGTGTCTATAATGCAAGCGAAATATTATTTGAGATAATTGAGATATCCAAACAAACCTTTGCTTTTGCTGGTCAGAACCTTCTTTTCTCTTGCGAATATTATGGCATCATCTGCCTGGATCTTTTCATGGGAGCATAGTAGTAGATACCTACCGGTGATGGAAAAGGACAAGGGAAAGGCGCGACCTGCTACAAATGAGAGAGAACTCTGAACTGAAAATTTTCACTCCACTTCAATGACGTGGCTTATTTTCTACCTCTCGGTCTATGGATGGGTCCGTAGACCGAGTCTACCCAAGTTTTTGCCCTCTACGCGAAATCCATTACACAGTTCAACTTGGTATGAATTTGTCTGCTGATTGAAAAGACATGTAGCTTATCCACAGATCCATCATAATATCGTGGTTCCTTATCCAGAGATCCATTACAACCAATCCCTGCAACGATGGCCCGGACCGTTGCTATTGCGGTCAAGACACGCCTTGAATTATGTGCTCCCAACAAAAGAGCGTGGCCCGGCTCTGAAATTGTCCCGTGAGAGGTGATTGAAACGCAATGGTGGCAGAATAATGTCGTAGGTTAAGTTGTCATATCAGTCCGGAGCTTAGCCAGAGATGCATTACAACGACTCCCTGAACCTTCGCGATCACGACACGTCATACCAAGTACCTTGAATTGTCTGCTCCCCTGCTAAACGGCTACGATCTGGAGAACTGTTTTTGGGACGTAGTGCGGATTCAATTCGATCCAGTGTGAACGCAGTGGTCTTCCGGAATATGCCGTTGATGACTAAAGCATAATAAAGATTTGCATGGGGCCGGCGGCTGCGTTATTATGGAATGCGTTTAAATTATAAATTATTTTAAATAATATTTTACTGAATTTTTTTATTTCAAATCTTCCTAATCCAAACACGTGTTTGAATTATGTGTTATTTCACTTTATTTACACACACTGATTTGCTTGCATCATTAACATATTTTCCAATAACCTTTTTATCTCACATACATCATATTAAAAAAGTACTATAATATTTTTTCACAAAATTATCTTAAATAATTTATAATCCAAACACACTCATTATTATTTTTATCAATCGATGATTTCTTTCTACATTACTCCTACTTTTCCTCCCATGCTAATTTAATTTATTTAAGGAAGGGCTTAACTAGATTAGAAAGAACCAACAGAGATTGAATCACCAGTGAATGTGTTTAAATAGAGTATTATTTAAAATAATTATTATAGCATTTTTTATGATATGATATATATGAGATAAAAAAATAATTGAAAATATAAAAAGATGGATTAAAAAATGTATTTATGATACAAACAATATATTACGTGTAATAATTCTATAATCCAAACAAACTCAGCTGTTGGACCAAACGAGACGGATGCACCACCACACACACACACGTTTAGATTTGAAAAAATCACATAATCATACAGCTCCTAAAACTAGCAATAGCATAATTATATAGCTCCTAAAACTTTTAACATGACAACCGCCGGAAAGGAGGACACATAGACGTTATAGTTACCACCAAACAAGAGAAATTGAAGAAAAAGCTGGACTTGAAGACCTAGGCAAACAGTCGAACACCATTAGCTTCTAATATTTTGGTGACCATGCGTTTCAAACATGATAAATTAGTCAGGCAAACAACACAAAGGAATAGAAGAAAAGGGAAGAAGCATAATTGATCTGAGAAGGTAAATCAGCTAATTGCTAAATCAAACTTATTTCCCAACATAATTAGGCGTTGCTGAAATGCACTATGCCACCAACCAATCCAGACATTTTCTCTGGATGGACTTCTCATAGTCAGTTGAATAGGCTGAACCCGGAGGTCTTGGAGTAATATGCATGTTTGAAGTATCCAGGACTACGGAGCCACTGCTAGATCCTTGATCCTTGATGAAGTACCCCTAAAAAAAAAAGGCCTGAAGACCCTCGTTACCTTGCGAAAAATTGTATATAAGCGCTGCAAGTTTCATTTTCTGGGATATAGCTGAGTATTTTGCAATGAATTACTGGTGAGGGTAGACGTAGCTTGCAAAGAACTATCAGTGAGGGTTGATTTACCCAGGACGTTCAGGGCCTTCATCCGATGCATTTCTTTTCCTGCAAATGCAATGAGACACAAGGAAAATCAAATGGAGAAGCAACACCCACAAAGTCTAGAGAGAGAGAAAAAAATTACTCTTGCTTAAAAAGTTTCTAAATCTACAGTATGCCAGATTGCCAGCAGAATTTCTCTTTGAGCCTAAGCAGATAGTTGAATGGTATATGATCCAAGAAAGATCATCCACGACATTGTCATCCGATGTACGAAATAAAGCCTACTATATTTTTAACACCAACAACATTGATAAGAGCAAAACTATTCAGGGGTATCAAGGATCCCATTAAGCACGCTAGGAAAAACATCTGCCCTCTCATATGTAAAGTCACGACCAACAACATTGATAAGAGCAAACCTATTCAGGGATATCAAGGACCCCATTAAGAATGCTAGGAAAAACATCTGCCCTCTCATATGTAAGGTCAAGAGTCAAGACAGTGGAATATTAAATCAAATAAATTAAAGCCCTGCAGTTGTCAATCAATAGATTTACTAGTATCTTACAGCTGAATAAGTGAGAGAGTATAAAAGAGACCTCAAAATAATCAACCTCCACCCCGCTGGAATGATTACAAGTGCTAGCATTGCACAAACTCAAAAGAAAATATTCTACCCCTATTCTTCACGCTACTTCTAGAAGAAGCAACTAAAAACTGAGAGCAAGAGAAACTGTTGCAGAGCAACTAACAAAAGATTCGCAGAAGATACAATTACACAAGTAAATTAGCTTCCTAGTAGCAACATCTTCAGATAGCTTAGTTTAAACAAGTCCATAATCTGAAGAATTAAAATAAGATTCAATGAAACATGCTGGGCTTAGCACTGTCAAAACAACGCTGTTGCAAAATTCTTGGTTGTTAAGAAGGAAAATCTGCAAGAAATTTTACTTGGCCAGGGTACTTGTATTGCATAACTATACTATCTATATCCTTTGAAAAAAAATTACCTAAAGCCCATACCACAGTTACAAAAGATATATAGACAAGTCAGTATTTTAGAATACAAATGCACTAATATCCTTTACCCTAATAGACGGCAGAAGCTGTAACTCTCCAATCGTCATCAAATTCTCTCTATCTCTCTCTCTGCCCCCAACTCACATGCGAGCAAGCACGCACGCACACACACACACAAAAGGCATTCAAGGGATGCGCTTTATCTGATATATATGTACCAGAGCTATCTGTGTCTTGTTGAAATCGTTCTAAATTTTTTATCCTAGAAGAACCAACATTCGGAAGTTAGTAATCATTTATTACTGGTGAAAAAGAACATCTATACCTTCCTCCATTGCTAATTGAATTGCTCTTGCCTCCAACTCAAAGGCATGTCTACTAAGCTCAGCTGGGGATAGATATCGGAGCACTGATAGAATCAAATCAAGCAGCCATTGGAGTTGACTATTTAAAGAATAGGAAAAATATGCATGAGGAAATAGGATTCCTGAAACCCATGGACTTACCCTGGATGTAATCCCGACAGTTTGACTCATCACATTCTTTCAAAAAATTTTGCAGGCGGACATACCGTTCTGTTGTTTGCTGATCACGACTACCCTTATAGTCAACAGAATTAGGACATTCCAATGTGACCCTAAGAGAATCAGACTGTGTAGATTGCATACCAGTGGCATACTTCCCCAGAAAATTTGGAGCTGACAATCCCCCAAACGAACTATTCGTGGGTGGAATATTATTCTGTGGAACTGCAGGAACAGAATAATTGTTGCTTGCCCTCAAATGAGTTTGTTTTTGAGGAGTTTCTTGCTGCAATTGGTGCACTTGCCTGGACTGCGGAGAATCAGCAACCTTAGTTGTGTTGCTTTGAACTCTTCCCCTGCCTAGTTCTAACTCAAATCTTCGACGTGCATTCATGATATGCTCATTTGCACAAGAATTGGTTAAGGCAGGATAGAAAGCAGAACCCGAAGGGCGCTCTGGTGTAAGCCTCTTATTTCCACAAACTCTAACTGCATCTGTATTGGCTCCTGAAGCAAGAAAGCTTGAATTCTCTCGATGGTTCTGTGACAAGCCACTGGCTTGATTTTGCACATCCCTCAGTGCTGTCTTTTTTGTTTCACAAGGTGGCTGTTTATTGTGAGAAGAAAAGCCAAGACCACCACCATCCTGCTTAAGAGCAGGAATTGCAACTCCACCGTTAACCACTCCATTGCTACTAGTCTCAGTATTAATCATTTGTAGAATCATCAACACATACAGTTTGACTTTCACAAGAGGCCTGAGCAGAAAATGAAAGGTTAAATGATATACTAAGCTTTTCTAATTTAACCTCATTAGTATCTCTAAGTCTGCTCCAGCACAAATAAGGATTGTATAACATAAAAGACCATAGAATTAGGACATCTAGAGCATAACAATTTTAAACAAGTAAATCATTCTTTTTGCCAAACAGCAACTGACTGATGAAAAAGAGTCAAATAACTAACTGCATTTCTATCCTATTGACTTCCGATATAAAGAGACTTTGCAATCTCCTTACTGAAGTTATAGTAGGGAAAAACCATCAGTCAGTCTAGACCCCATTCGAGTCGATATCAATTCTAGCGGTATCACACTGAACAAAGCCTAATTTCCATGGTATTACGACAAATTTACTTTGAAATCACACAAAGGATTAATTTAATCACAAACAAAATAATTAAACCCAATTTGACTGACAATACAAGAAAGATGCAGCAGACTAAGGAACCACGCAATGAAACTAACATTTGACACTAGGAAAAAAAAATTAAAGCAAATTAACTGCGTAAAACCCTCTCAAGTCCATAAATGCAGTGTGTGAAAAGAAGAATCTAAAAATCCAAAAATTTCAGTCAAAGCCCAGATGGGCCAGCAATTACACTCCTGAATTCTAACCAAGAAAACACTTTTCAACATTTAACAACATAAATTCATAATCAAAGAGCATTTCAAACAAAATTTACAGGTAATGAGTAAGAGAGACACGCAAGACTGTACAAACACACACACTTGTACAGCTTTACATCAGTAAGAGAAGTGTCAAAAAAGGTAAAGAGAAAGAGAGCGGGGGCTTACGGCTTTATCAATTGGGGGAGGGGCTCTAAGGATAGATCCGAAAAGAGATGGAAGAAAGTGAGGACAGAGACGGCGCCACTGAGATGAAAGAGGAGGTTTCAAAAGAGAGAGCTTTGCCTCCAAAGAGCACCCAATTCCAGGTCTTTATTATAACTGCTGCTGCTCCACTTCTTAAATCAAGTATTAGCATATTAGCATTATATAGTAACTAGTGTTGGAGGCACAACCATTAATAAAAGAAATTTGTGCCAAAAATTTTTTTAGTATATTTGAAATCATTTTCAAGATAATTAGTTTTATGGTCTAATAGTAAATATTTAGAAAGTTCACTAAAGTAAAATATATGAATAATAATTATTTAGTCGTAATTCATAATCAATCATAATTGATAGTTGCTAATAAAATTAAGGTTAACTGAATGTGTTGAAAAAACAAAATGATAAGAAATACATATTAGTTGAAAGAAGGACATATGGGAAATTGGAAAAAGAAAGTTATCAAGGGTAGTTTAGAAAAACATAACGTAATACAAAAATGTTTACAATAATCCCTCCCTCTCCTAGTATAAATATTAATAGGTGCTGCACACACTATGTGTGTACATATCTTAGAAAAAAAATTAAATAATAAAAAAGAGATAGAATAAAAAATTCGTTAGAGAGATATACTACTATAATGTTTATACCCTGTTTGATAACCTAATTCAACATTTAAATTTAATGGATTCGGATCTTAACATGTTTAGACGTGTTTAATAATAAAAAATTAAACATCTGAATTAATTAAATGGCACTAAATTTTTTAGCCAAAACTTACTCCAAAAAATAAGTGATAAGCTATTAACTTATCACTAAATGTGATATATACTCAAATTTATTATATTTAGGGTAAAATACAAAAAAGCCCTCCGTGGTAAACCTAATACACAGAAAAGTCCCCCTTGTAGTTTCAAAATATACAACACGATACCCCGTACTTTGAACTAAATTGTAAATGTGATAGAATCCGTTAAACTTAACGAAAATGACTTATTGGAATCTAAAAAAAAAATTTTATATATAGTTTTTAACAAATATACCTGTTCTACCTCTTAACTCTCAATTCTCTCTATTTAGAAAATAAAACAAATGATTTTTTAGAACTGTCTTTTGCTTAATTATATCAGGGCATTTTTGTCATTTCGTCCATTTCCGTTAAGTTTAACGAATTCTGCCACATTTACAATTTAGTTCAAAGTACGGGGTGTCATGTTGTATATTTTGAAATCACGATGGGCTTTTTTGTATATTAAGTTTACCACATGGGGATTTTTTGTTTTTTACTCTTAGATTTAATACTTAACAATTCAATAATTTAATGAATCCAAATTTCAAATTTCAACTTTCAAACTCCAGTTTTATCAAACGCATCCTTACTTTACTTTCTTTAATCAGGGTAGTTGTTTAGAACATGTAAATCACACCTAGCTTTGGCGTTTTACCTTTTGATCTTATATAAATTACACTGCCTTATTTTATCAAATTCAAGGTTCAAATTTTGGATATAACAATTTATGGTGGAAAAGTTACGAGGATGAGAGGGAGAGTTAAAAAAAAAAGATATTACATTGCAAAAAATGCTAACCTTTTTATCATTTATAAATTATATATCGCATTACAAAAAAAATGTTGCGGCAAATATTATAACAAAAATTTCAAATAATCTTTTATTCAATCACACTCATGTCAATTCATATTCACATTTATTACACCTTATGCATTTACATATCTTTACGAATCAACTTCATTTTTACAAAAATGTAGCAATTGAGGACACTCCTAATAAGGTCTTATTGGGCGTGTGTTAGCCAACCCCATTTATTATACGAAACAAATGTCATGAGTTGTCTCTCACTTTCTCCAAAGAAGATAATCAACAAAGAATTATTAGATGTCTAAATCTTCAAATCCCTGTTTTATAAAGATTTATCTAATTATCCATATTTACTAAGCGTAGTCATTATTCAATCATCAATTGTCTCAAAATCCCATATTAGTTTTACCAATGTCATAAATTTTGAATTTAGCTGGTATAGAAATGAAGTGAGGCGGCCCGGATGGCTTTGAATTTATCGATAACATATACACAAACGAAGTCAGTCACTAATAAGATGTTTTTCCCCCTTCCAAAAAAAAGAAAAGAAAAGAAAAGAAGTACTTCCTTTATTTATTTTAAGTTGATAAATCACAAAATTGTCGTATTAAACTCTTTCCTCCAGTGGTACACTACAATACAATATAGCATCCTTAATCCTTAATAGGATCCATTCCTTTTTTTTTATCAATTAATAATTTCGACATTACTTCTATTCCTACTTTAAACTAGTTGAAGGACTGCCCAACTGAATCAAGGGCACCAACGAGAATTAAACTACAATTCGACTAAACGAGTAAACTACAGACTCGTTTGGATTTGAAGAAATCACATGCCAGTAGCAAGTGATGGGAGGTCAGGGCGGCAAAGGTCAAATCCTTTGATCTCCCACCTTACAAAGAATTGTTTGGATTGCAATTTTTCTTTGAATTGTTTGAATTGTTACGTTTTCCGTGAACACAATTTTCAATTACATTTTTACCTTATATATATGAAATCACTACAGTAATTTTTCTACCAAAAATCTAGAAAAATGCAATCTAAACAAGCCTAGGCTGTTGGTTCTTAATTTAATCCATATGTCCAAAAATCATGCTAACAAATTCGGTTTGACAATGTGAGTTTTTGCTAAGTTTGTCTTCTACCAATTTTTTAAAATAAATTTAACTACAATAATCTCAAAAAAAAATTTAAAAATTTTAAATTACACACTTCAAAATACTCAAAATACATAAAAAAAAGTTTTCCTTTCTCCTTTCTTCTTCCACCTCAACCTATCACCACCTCCACCGCCGACCAAGACTAGCAAGCACGGACAACATCTTCCACCTCCGGTCACCTCTTTTTCCTTTTTTTTTCCCTTTCTCTCCTCCTTCTCTCCTACCCTGTCCCCCCTACTCTTCCTCTCCCTCTCTGCCCGATCTGGTCATGCAACTAGATCGCGCTAGGAGGAGAGGGAGAGGAAAAAAAAAGAATTTTTTTTTTGTTGCTGTAACTTCCAGCGGGGGGAGGGAGAGAGGGAGAGGGAAGGGGAGGAGAGCGGGAAGAGGGGGAGAGAGAAAATGCAAAAAAAAAAAAATTGTTTCTGCGGTTGCAACTTTCGGCGAGAGGGAGGGAGTGGTGGCAGGGAAGGGGGAAGGGGAGAAGGGAGGAAAGGGGGAGAGGGAGATGGAAAAATGCCAAAAAAAAATAAATTTGTTTCTACTGCTGCAACTTCCTTCCAGGCGCCGCCGGGGGGAGGGAGAAGAAGAAGAGAGGAAAAAAAAGAAAAAAGAAAGAAAGGAGAAAAAAGAGAAAAGGAAAGAAAGAAAAAAAAAAGGAAAAAAATTTTATCTTAAAAATTTTCCTACAACTTTTATAGTAAATTACAGTAAAAATTTAGACAAACATCCAAAAAATTCGTTTGATAAGTGAGTTTTTTGGGTGTTTGTCTAAACCTTTACTGTAACTTACTGTAGAAGTTTTTAAATTTTTTTTTGAAGTGTGTGTGTGTTTTTTTTAAATATTTTGAAGTGTATAGTTTAAAAATTTTGAGAAATTTTTTGAGATTATTGTATGTAAAGTTTTAAAAAAACTTGTAGCAGATAAACTTGGCAAAAAACTTGTCTGGCAAACAAGGCCCTCATTTGCCAGTAATTAGTAAGACAAGAAGCAGTAGCTAGTAAGACAAGAAGTAGTTTGAAGTGGTGTTTTCCCTTTCCTTAATCTCCATATGGTTCCTAGGGGATTGAATTATTTTCAAGTTTTGATACTTATTTTTGTCGAAATTTGTTCTGAAAATGCCTAGTGAACTTGAAGTGCATGTGAATATCTCTCCAGTCTGAAGTCTCCATTTTGTAGGATTGTCAAGTGAATTCTACTCTACCTGCTTAATAATCTGAAGACGGTACGGAGCCCGTCCTGACAATAACAGAGTGGTTTACCTGTATATCTATCCTGGCTCCAATGCGAAGATGTGGATCAACTTATTCAGTCACCCCTTGCAGGCTGCAGGTGAATTGATGGAGGCAACCTACCGGGCCTTCGCCAAATTAATCGTCATCGGGGAAATTCTCAGTCAATTCCAACCTTTTTTAATTTGTTTTTCCTTTGTCATCAGCTGGTACGTGTGATTAATAATCTTATGACAAAGTGTAATCTAAAAGCCAATTGCTGCTACTTAGTTAACTCGGGATTGGTTAACAGGATGGCATCCCAAAAAAAAAGTTCAATTATACAACACGATGCTGCAAAGAATGGTTAGTTATCAACCTGTCATTTGCATTGACTACGGACCTAGGGAATTTGTTCAGCCTTACTCATAAGCTGTAAAACTGAATTTGCTTTCCTTCGACCTCTGTCAGTTCCACTCTTGGTGACTTCAACTAGATGTTCATACACACCATACTGAAGTGCAGCCAGAATGAGATTGGAGTTATTTGAACCCAACTGCAGAAGAACTGCAGTTGCACATTCCTTGTTTTTGGGAGTGCCGTCTCTGATGAAGTTAACAAGAGTCTCAATAAATGAGAGCTGTCCAATTTCTTGCCTTCCCTCCGGATTTGATGCAAGTAGCAGCAGAAGGGAGAGGATTTCGTCAATCATGTCTAAGTTCCTGTCCTCCAGTAGGCTGAGTAATGGAGTCACAATGCCAGCTTCAATAGCCCTGGACTTGTTACTATGATTGAGACAGAGATTGAAGAGTGCAGTCACAGCATCCTTTTTTCCCCTTATTGTCCCATTTTTCAACAGCAGTACCAATGGTGGGATGCCGTTTAAATCTCCTACTGTTGCTTTATTCTCATCGAGCATTGATAAGCTGAACAATGCTGCGGCCGAATTTTCTTTGGCACCAACAGTTCCACTCCGCAAAATTTCAATTATAGCTGGAATAGGGTTTTCTCTGGATATGAGCTTCTTGTTTGACTCGTCAATTGACAAGTTCAATGTTGCTGTTACAGCATGCTCCCGGATTTTGGAGTCTGGATAGGACAGTAGTTGCACAAGTGGTTGGATTCCTCCACTACTGGCAATCAAAATCCTGTTTGCAGGACTCTCTTTGGAGAGAATACGAATCTTCTCCACCGCACTCCTCTGCACATCTAGCTGACTTGAAGATAGATTTTGAACCAAGGATAATATCTCTCCATCATCTTCCGTAACGGGATTCTTGGGGTTTGCAGATGCTTCCTTTGTGAAAAGTTGGAAATTGTTCTTGGTACCCCACTGCCGAATTAAGTTTCGGAGGGCAAAATTTGGTGCTAGTGATAAGTGAGTTAACTCTTGCCCTGATTTTGGACAGGTTCGATGACCTGAATCCAACCATTGCTGTATGCTCTCTCTTTCGTAGGTCTACAATGGACGTTGATTATAAACAAAGAATTAGTGTCAGAGCTACATGGCCTTGATCTACACATCAGTTTTGTACCAAGTGGTAGAATGCAAGGGAAGTAAAGTTTCTTAATGAGAAAATATAAGCAAATATGGAAAAGGGTGCATGGTGGTTGAGGTTGGGTTAAAGAACCCGGAGAAATATGTTATTACCTGTCCAGTTGCTACGATTACCGGATCTATCATAATCTCCAAGGTAATGGGACAGAGGAACTCATGGGGAATTTCTACAGCAGAAGCACATTTTTTACGAGTTTTTGGCATAAGCGGATCGTCAAGTGCACCAGTTTCTGGAACAGCGGCAAACTTTTGGAATTTTTTTAGAAGAAGTGTGATTTGTTGAGTGCCTTCTGCATTATGACCTCTTCTGTCTTTGACAAGCCTTCTAACAGCCAACGTTTCAGCCTTCAGCTCCTCAACCGTACGTAAAGCTAGCTTGTTTGCCAACCTTTCAACACTAGCAATGTCTGCATTCCTATCATTCTCTGTGGACAATGCCACCATCAAATCCATCGTGAATTCCATATCCTGAGTATCAGCCCGCGATCTGGATCTCCTAATTTGTGCCCGCATCAACTCAACCTGTATAAAATTAGCGTCCAAGGCAACAAATGAAAAGAATTACGCCTCTTTCATCATCGAAAAAAGGAAAAAAAAAGAAAAAAAGGCCAATCAATAGCTGTTAAGAATTAGTCAAATAGCATCCAACATCATTATCCATAAACTGAGACAAAACATTAGGCACTGAAAATCCTGCAGCAGCTAGGGATGTACGCGTGCAAGTGACAACCCCAAATGCAAATGCTATAAGCCCATAATGTCCTTCTAGAAAGAAAATGCAGATGTTATAGTAAGATTTACGATGACAGACCTGTTCTTTCTCTTCATCCGAAATTCCAAGCTCCTCGTACGGCATGCCATCCAAAGCCCGACTTATTTTTGCATATACAGAATGAAACCTGACCATAATGGCTTCCGTTTCTAATGCCTAAACCACGGTAATATTTAGTAACAGGAAATTAGCATGCTCAAAAAGGCACGAACAAAATCAGAAATGCGGGAAATTAAGGACAAAAGCATATCAAGGGAATTACCAACCAGGTAAATTTTGCTTCCGCAATGACAGGTGGTCAACAATTTCTTGGCAGAAATGAAGGCTTTCTTCAATTTGTTTAAGCATTCAAGGGCTGCTTCTGGAATCGGCTTGTCAAGGTCTCTAAATTCTTCTAAGAAAGGTAACAAGAGCTTCAATCTTCTAACAAGGCTTTGACACTCTTTCCTTTGGGTCTTCCTGAATTCTCCTATGGACTTTACATTTTCAATCATGCCTATGAGTTCTTCAACCACATCCATTTGATCCTGAGTTTTCTTGACCACCGGGCTCAATGGCTTCTTGTCTTCCTCTCCAATCTCCCCTTCTACGACGTGGCGCCCGCCAGCTGTCGCCATCCCTAAATGTTCTTCAAACTTTCCCTGATTTTTTTCACATGGTGGTTATATTCAGTATGCGAAAACTTAAAAAGGAAAAAAAAATCGACATGGAATTCCTTTACTTTGTCTTGAAACAAAATTCTCCTGGATAATGAGAGAGAGAGAGACCAATAGGAAACCCACCAGTAAGTATGGAATATTATACAAATTTTTTTTTATTAGGTATTGGGGCTCTATTTCTCTTTCATTTATGACTGCTACTAGGAAATTGTCCGTGCATTTAGCTTCACGTTAGTCATCATGGAGAACAATTTCTTGTGGTCCAAAATCCTGAAAATGGTAATAAAAGAATGTTTTGGACGTATGATATATATGTAAAATTTAAATTTAGAATTAATTATGATAGCACGTGCAATGTTAATGTATAAAAAAATAATTTTTTCTTTGAAGGCAAATCATATAAAAGAGGCTTGCAAGTTAGTTTAGTAAGAATAAGAACAGTTTGTAATCATAAGCCAAAAAGGGGGGGGGGGGGAACTTGAGGGACAATTTTCACGAAAGGTCCTTCACAAACATAAACTTTTTTAATCCCTTACATTCAAAGCGATGTATTTTGGATCCAAGCACTTTGGTTCCAAATTCTTGATCCAATTATTATGATTATTTTTTACCTAAAAAGATGCATATACCATATGTTGATCAATTAGGGTGTAGAAATGGAAAAAAGAGCAAGTTTGCTTGCAGGAAAAGCCGTATAGATATGTTCGTCATAATGTTGAAGAGAAACTTGCCTCAATGCATGCCTTTAGAATAAAAATTTGGGATCAAATTGATTATTTTTTTTAATGTGTGAGGATCAAAATGCATCATTTTACATTTTGAGGGACTAAGAAAAAGACAACTAGCAAATGTAAGGAGCCTTCTTTTGTACAGCTTTTCCCAAAAAAAAAAAAAAAAATCTCATAATTAGGTTGTAATAAGGAAAGTTTATCCACCCTCTCATGATTATTAATGTGGGAATTTTTGAAGAAAAGCAGGATGGAACACAAACAAACACGTTTTTAATCACTTTTTTTTTTCCCGTTATGTGATTTCTAAACAACATCGAATCCAAAACAAATCAAATGTGTTTTTAAAAATAGAGAGCACCAATTGTACCTCAACAAGCCAAGTTTGAATTTGAAAATAAAAACATAATTGTAGCTTCTTTCCGGCTTACAATTTAAAAGTAGTAAAAAGAATAGCCGAGGGAATGATGCCCTAACCCTATTGGAATTTGGTCATCTTCATTTATTCTCTAGGCTGATTAACAGTTGTGATACAAGCACAAATGTTTGTTAGTTAGTACCATTCAAATCAGAACTAATAAAAAGCACAACAAAGAAAAGTTAAAATAACAATTTATAGTTCCCACAAGAATAGGCATAGCAATTTTACAGAGTAATGGGCTATATAGTGCATGGATGGAATTGGAAATCAGTTGTGTAAATGGCCAGACCAGACCATACCATTATTACCATATATAGAAAATCAGTTATCTAATTCATTAGCAAATTCAGTATACTCCCCCGTCTCACTTTGATAGTCCTGATTTTTTTTTCCACACAATTTAAGAAAAAGTAGTTAACTTTATTGGAACAATTAATTTAGGTAACTATTTTCCTAAAATACCCTCACATTAATTAAATATAACTTTATGGAAACTTGAATTGATGGTAAAAAAAGAATTAACTCTCGTTCAATGGGGGTAGATTTATAGTAACAACAACTTACATTTAATAAGGGTATTTTAGAAAAATTAAAATACAATTACATTCGGAAAGTGAACTATAATTTGGGACAGACAAAAAAGGAAAACAGGACTGTCAAAGTGAGACGGAGGGAGCTTTTTTTTTTTTTGGAAAAAAAATTGAGAAAGCATCTCAGTAGTAGACCCGGCTGTCTTAAATACTCCTTTAAATTAATGTAAGGGCATCATCAGAATCATCATCATCTATCTGGGTAAAAGTTTTTGAAACACACATTTGACCTGGGCGGCGGAGGGGATTTTTTTTTTTTTTTTTTTGGGAGAGGGACGAGGGGTTCGACGGCTGAAAGAACCGTTAATAAGCAAAGAATAGACCATCGCAACTTTTCATCCAACGGCCACAATTTACTAGCCGTTGTTTTCAAAATATGAAAAGAGGGCTATGTCCGGACATATTTCCGCCGTTTTTACCCTTTCATCCCGCTTTTATCCATTTTCTTCCTACTGCAATTAAGCAATAAAACCCTCAATACAACCAACCCAGAAGACTGAGATATAGACAAGGTTAATGAAAAAGAGAGAAACACTTCTTCAAGATGAATCCCCTCCACTGATCATTTTGGTGGAGCTTTCTCTGGTCTCTCTCTTCATTTGACGGCCGCTTTAACTGAAACAATAAGATACTTCCTTTCATCGGAATTACTGCAGGTATCTTTATCTGGGATTCTCGTCATAACCCTGGATTTTAGTTTCATCTCTCTTTATGTTTTATGAATTGGGTTTTCTTCTTTTCTTTTTCCTTTTTTCTTTTTTCGAATCCTTATATTACGTTTGTTTGGACTGCTTATTTCTGCGATAAATTATTTTTAAGTAACTACTCAAATTCTTGAATGGGTTTTTGAAAAGTTCTTTTGTTTTTTTAAATCCTGTTATTAGGTGTAGCTGTTCTTGAAGATGGCCAAGACGGCAGGATCAGATGAGAACTACCCGGGTTTGATTAGGCCCTCTAACACTCGAGGTACTTGAATTTTGAATGCAGCTTATCTTCTCATAGTTTGGTCTCTCTTGATTATTTTCTTTTATTTATTTTGATCATCCACTCAAGTTATGATGGTCTGGCATCCATAGATTACAAAACCCTAACTTCTGATATCATTTGATTGTGTATCAAAAGGGGATATGGGGGCTAGAGGAGGAAAGTTGACGGAATCAATTGGGCAGAATAGGAGGGCATTGAGCACCATCAATAGGAACGTTATAGGGCCTCCACCTTATCCCCGTGTTGTCCACAAAAGAGGTGTCTTGGCAGAGTATGATCTCTTAAACCCTAATCTTTGAGGGTTCTTAAAAATTTGATCTTTCTATTCATTCAAATGAATTACTCGTCCTTTTCCTTTGTTTTATTTAAAACCCTGGTCATTTTATACAGGCATAATGCAACCGCTGCTAATATCCCTCCTATTCCAGTCCATCGACCAATCACTAGGTTGGTGGATTCTGCTATCCTTGATGTCGGTTCTGAGATTTAAGTGGCTTTATCATTCTTCATTTATTGGTTATCTAAGATTAAGAAGCTGCACATTTGGTTGCAGAATGAACTATTTTGTGTCACTTTGTCTATTTGTTTTCCTTTTGTCTTGGTTCTTGCTATATGATCAGGAAGTTTGCGGCTCAAATGGCTTCGAAACAGGATCAGCCTCTGATTCAGGTATACATCACTTTTGGAAACAAATGAAAGATGGCAAAGGAAGACGAATTTCTATCGTTGTCAAATGATTTATGTGTGTTATTGTTGTAAGTCTGAATAGTGTGATTTTATTTCCATAGGAAACAAAGCCAGTAGTCAATTCAGTCCCTAAAGCAAGTGCATCTGAAGATTGCGTCATTATTGATGTGGAGGACTACAAGTCAAATGGTGACTATCCAGTGCCAATGTCCGTGCAACACACAGAAGCTATGCTCGAGGAAATAGATCGGATGGTATTTAATTCACTTTTTTTATTTTCTTTTGGTTTTATTGGATGGCTTCCTTCATCTTTTACTTGATTGTAGGATGCTGAGTTTGAGATGGAGGATATAGCTGTGGAACAAGTGGTGGACATAGACAGTGTTGATAAGAATAACCCACTAGCAGTTGTGGAATATATCGATGACTTGTATGCCTACTACAAAAGAACCGAGGTCACATAACAAATCCATTCTCCAGCATTCTTTAGGACTTAAGTTTGGTTATTGTCTATTTGTTTCAAATTGCTCTACTTTGTTCTCCACATGAGCTTAGTCCATTCATTGAGCTTGTAACCCTTCTTTGCCTTGTCTTAAATGATGTTCTCTTGTTTCCACTCTAAAGTCATGTTTCCTTATAGTGAACTATGTCAACTCAGTAAGTTTATCTATGTGCGTAGCACTTCAGATTGGTTATTATCTATTTCTTTCAAATCAGTAACTTTTCCAATGTGCTTAGTTCATTGATTGAGTTCATGACTTTTGTTTGCTTGTTTTAAATGATTGTGCATATAGTCCTGCCCTATATATAGTCTTGTTTCCACTCCAGCGTCTTGTTTCCATATAGTGAATTATGTTAATTAGTAAGTTTTCCTATGTGCTTAGTCCATTCTTTTAGTTCATAACCCTTCTTTAGGCCAGTGAAAGAGAGAAGCCTAGTTTATTCAATTTGAATTAATTCACTTGATTTAACTGAAGCATCTTTGCTAACTGCTACTCGAATTGAGCACTGCTGTCTTTACAGATTTCTTCTAATTCCTTCTTAAGAGGAAAAAAAAAGTAACAACCAGTTCTTAATTGTGATACAAGGTAATATTTGAAAGAAGTGACAGTAATGTCTTGCGGCTTTTGCCCCAAAAAAAAAAAAAAGATTTGCAGATATTTGATCCCCCATTTGTTGACAGACTCTTATCTTTATTTCAGTTTTATTTCATTATTCGCATGCAGATATCTAGCTGTGTCCCATCGAACTACATGGCACAGCAATTTGACATCAATGAGAGGATGAGGGGCATTCTTATTGACTGGCTGATAGAGGTAAAGAAACAATTTCACATTATTTTGGCATTCTTACAAATTCTGAACTGTCAGAAGTAAGAAAAAGGTTGCGGCTAACACTGTACTTCTGAATGTACAGGTGCATTACAAGTTTGAACTGATGGATGAGACCTTGTATTTAACTGTCAATCTAATAGATAGGTTCTTAACAACAGTCTCTGTGGTGCGCAAGAAACTTCAACTTGTTGGAGTGACAGCAATGCTTCTGGCTTGCAAGTATGAAGAAGTTTCTGTTCCTGTCGTTGAAGACCTCATATTGATTTCTGACAGGGCTTACTCCAGAAATGACGTGCTTGAGATGGTAGGTTTGTTATGGCATCTATTGTCTATGAGTTGATCTTTGATATATGAAGGTTTCCTTTGTCATATAACTAAAATTGAACTGTGGCTCGCTGCAGGAGAGCTTAATGATCAATACCTTGCAGTTTAATCTTTCAGTGCCTACTGCTTATGTCTTCATGAGGCGCTTTCTTAAAGCTGCTGACTCTAATAAAAAGGTATTGTTTCGTATTTAGTGTATGTGAATTTTTTGCGCTATCTTGATCTGCCTAATAACTGGCAATAATCTTCTGGTGACTAGTTGGAGCTTCTGTCCTTCTTTATCGTTGAGCTGTGCCTCGTCGAGTATGAAATGCTTAGGTTCCCCCCGTCTCTCTTAGCAGCAGCAGCAATCTTTACTGCACAATGCTCTGTCAATGGGTTCAAGAAGTGGACTAAGACATGCGAGAGGCACACAAACTACACTGAAGATCAGCTTTTGTAAGTGGTTCCTTGTGCTCTTTTCACACATTAATGAATTTTTTCATAAAAGAAAATAGTATATTAATTGTACGTGTCTTTTTGGTTATTCTAGGGAATGCTCAAAACTCATGGTTACTTTCCATCAGAAGGCAGGCACTGGCAAGCTTACCGGTGTTCACCGAAAGTACAGCACATCAAAATATGGATATGCTGCCAAATCACAACCTGCCCTTTTTCTGTTGGACGCAACTTTTCACAGCAAGATTGATTTGGCCCGTTGAGCAACACACAAGTTGCTGTGCATTTTCGTTGATCTGATGTACAAATTTAGCTGAGTTCTATTTTCCAGATTTGCTTTCTTGACTTTTAAACCAACCGTCTGTTCTCATCAAATAATATTATCTTGCATGGGATGAGTTTGCTTACAATCTAAGGATAGCTGACTCCTCTAAGATCGATACACAAGCTAGTGACAAAAGGCAGGCGGGGGGAAGTGTATAACAAAATCAACCTCAGTAATCAACCTCAGTTTTGTTGGACCTAAAAATAAAAATTCAGAAGCTGAACTTCCACAAAAGGAGATCCAAGTCTTTAGGTCTCTGTTAGCAGGATCAAGAAAGAATCTATTTCTATCCGTCCACAAAGCCCAGCAAGCACAGGGAAATAAAGTACTATTCCACGGGAAACGGGTAGGATTGGCTTTATCCGATTTACTGTAGCCATTTTTGAGCCAACACAGAAAATTCTTGTCAAGAGCTTGTTTGCAAGAATGTTTGGTTGTCGAATAGGCTTCCTCGTCCATTACAGACAAAACTAGAAAAGGCATGATTCTTGTGCTGCTGCGGGTAGCAAAACTCTATTCTGTCCTTTGAAAAAATGATCTTCCGTTGCCGGGACTTGAACCCGGGTCTCTCGGGTGAGAGCCGAGTATCCTAACCACCTAGACTACAACGGATCTGCACGTTGGTATTGTTTTTTTTCTTTTCGTGCTGACCGTGTATTGATACTCGCACCTAATTGCTATTACTACAACTATCTTTTTCCTTTTTTGCCCTTTTGTTGATTTGACCTTACACAAAACTGACGACAGGATCGAACCACACTACAAAATTGCTGATATGGTTACAACAGAATAACTACTTGAAAAAAGTTCTTCAAAATTGCTACATTTCTCGATTAATTTAACAACAGTACAATACGATGCAATCCTCGAGGTCAACAAAACATGGTGCAGGAGTGGGAGGGGCGAGACGATTGGCTAAAAATCAGCTGCGAGGGTAGCGATGACAATGGAGACAAAAATCCGACACTTCAATCCGACGTGGTGGATGTACAAAAGCCGCAAAATATCTGCCTTTCTCGATTGGGAAGGGATTCTCGTGCTGGGAACTGCAAAAAATCATTTAACTCGTCAGATTCTTATCCCCCTCCCTTAAAAACCAAAAAAGAAAAAAGATATAACTGTTTCAAGAATTGTTAACGACCGTCAAATTTCCAAAAATAACCAGTACTGGAGGTCTAGTACAAGGTTGTTTGCTCTAGTCACATTTGGATTGTCTTTGTTGTTGTGTCAGCCTCCCTCTTGATCTCGATTTCTGTCCTGTGGGCTTTTAGCTAAAAAGGGTCACTGCACATCCCCATACCATTTCTACGTCTGCACGCATGAATCCCGCAACTATTTTAAGGTTGTCACTTGGTAGAGCTAAAAAGATCCAATCATCCGAACTTTCTCTTCTGAATTGATGATGCTGGAGCCGTAGTGAAGCTCTAATACTGGTGAGAACTAATCCGCCGGAAATTTTCTTTTATTATGAAATCCTTTTTTTCTTATTTTTTTAATTTTTAGTTGAGGGGTTGGCGGTGGGGCTTCTTTTTTTTCCCTTCCCTGTTTTTGATCTTTGTCTGACAATCTGATATTTTTGGGTAGTTTTTCATGGATGGATGCCTCATGGCAAGTGGTTAGTTGTTACCTTTGATATGGGGGGCAAGTTGTTAGTTGTAACCTTGGTATTTGCACTTGTTTGAGGGGATTTGGACATTTGTATTTGTTGTATGTGGTTTCTAGCAATTTCTGGGGTCTATTTTAGATTGTGACATTTCCAACTGTCTTTAAGATCTCTAGTAGTGCCAGTTTGCATTGCGTGGATATATTCAATCTGATATTTTTAGCATTGTGGTTAATATTACTGCCTTTCTATTTTCCACTCTATTATTGTCCTATTCTCGGGAAAATTCAATTTGACTGTTTTGACTAGATTGTATGTGTGTGTAGATATGATGCTTCATTCAAAGTTAAAGATCTTGTTGTTCGTTCAAGTTCTCAAGTGTATTTCTTGTAATATAGGACACATTTTTTGAGTACCTGTATCAAGTGAGTGAAGAAGGCTTCTTTCCTGCTAAGAGAGATGATCGAGAAGAAGCAGAAAAAGTTCCTTACTGTCGCACCCTTTGAGTGTGCTTGGTGCGATGACTTGAAGTTCAGAGAAGCAGGAAGGGGCTGTGTAGCTTTTGATGCTTTTGCCCACAATGATGTAACCATCGTGTTCAGAGAGCATGTAGGTAGTCAGCAGTACCATTACAAGAGGGACAATAACCCGCACTATACTGTCATCATTGGTAGCCATAAGAATAAGAGATTAAAAATTGAGGTTGATGGCGAAACAGTGGTGGATGTGGCTGGGATTGGTCTTTGCTGTTCTTCTGCATTTCAAAGCTACTGGATCAGTGTTTATGATGGATTAATTAGCATTGGCAAGGGAAGGTATCCTTTTCAGAATATTTGTTTTCAGTGGCTTGACTCGAAACCCAACTGTGCCGTGCAGTATGTTGGACTTAGCAGTTGGGATAAGCATGTTGGGTATAGAAATGTCAACGTCCTCCCTCTCACACAAAACCATATGACCTTGTGGAGACATGTAGAATCTGACGAGCGCGACAAGTGTGATAACAGCGAAGAAGAGTTGGAAAATGAAATTGCAGACTATGAGAAGTGGGGTTTAGAAAACTTTCTTGAGAGTTGGGAACTTTCAGATGTGTTTTTCATTGTTGGGAAGGAGGAAAGAGCTGTCCCAGCTCACAGGATAATACTGGCAGCATCGGGAAATTTTGAATTTGAATCTTCTGGCAGTGATGTTGTCCACCTCCCTGATATAGACTATGAAATTCTACATGCACTTCTGCAATATATTTACACGGGCCGTGCTCAGGTCAATCTTGTTCCTTTTAAATCTTTTGACCGTTTGTTATCATTCTGTGTTTCTATTTCTTAGCATACATTTACTTGGATGGTTTTGCACATTATTGCATTGATTTATCATCTTGAGATTGTAGGGCAATGAAAATACATTACAAAATTATCTGGCCCAGATAGATCAATTGTTCGTTTGGCTTTTGTTTTAATCTGCATCGTCATGTTTCACCTGATGTTTACTTGTGAAAGAAATTACTCTTCAAGTGTCAAATGTTTGCATCATTTAGCAGATTGATGCTTGTAGTATTGATTCCTTCCTTACAGTGGTTCTACTGCATGTATTGTGTAGTCAATGGCAGTAGAATATAATGGGTGTCTTTTGTTACGTTCTTTGCATTTTACATATTGCAGCTCTTAATTTTGATATAATTGTTATCTTAGAGTTCAGTATCTGACAATTTTGTTTCATTCGAATTCTATAGATTTCTGAGTCGCATCTCAGTTCCCTGAGCGCATTGAGCTTACAATTTGAAGTGATATCTTTGACAAAGCAATGTGAAGAAATTATTGAACGGTTTAAATTCAACAAGAAGTTGTTTGACTCAAGTAAGGATGTGGAACTTTCACATCCTAACACTCGGAAATGCAGTGCAGGCTTCCCGTCTGGCCTACCCATCAATGCAGAGAGGCTTAAGCAATTTCGCATGGGTGGTCAATACTGTGATATCGACATTTGCATTGATGGCCATGGCCTTGTTGCGCGGGCTCATAGGATTATCCTTGGTTTATGGAGCACTCCATTTACAAAGGTATGCCAGTTTTCTGATCCTTTCTAACCAGCACCAGGATTTCAACTCTGTTTTCCTTTTTTTTTCCTATGAGGGTAGGGGCGGTTTCCGCCAATGATTCTACCATATATAATGTGGTTGAACATCCCTAAAGTAAGATACTGAAATTTTTAGACTAGGAACTGTTAGATCCATAAGGTAATCAGCTTGATTTTGGTTTCCAGAAGTCTGTTTGATGCCTGAAAAATTAACTTTGTAAATATCAGAGGCTACAGATGCCATTAACTTCCTTTGTGTTTGGAGCATTGCTTAGTGAGAATTTGTGGCTCTCAATCATGCCTTTTATCATTTGATTTCTGGGCACAGTCTTACTGTAGCAACGAAGTACTCTTATAGAATTGCACTTTCTATAGGATTGCTACTAAACAAGCAAAAACATTCACTCTTTTGCAGATGTTCACCAATGGAATGAGTGAGTCTGTTGCACCAGTGGTTTGCTTGAAAGATGTTTCTTTTGATGCATTTCGGGTCATGCTCGAGTTCATGTATAATGGGGATTTTGCTAAAGGAGACACCTTGGACATTGGTACACTTTTGCTTCAGCTTCTTCTATTGGCAGATCAGTTTGGGGTTACCCTTCTTCATCAGGAATGCTGCAAAACATTTCTGGAGTGCCTCTCAGAGGTAATTGGATGAATCTTTCATTAATGTATGAAGCTTATCACTTAAATGCTGAATTTTGTGTACTTTCTTTATCATATTCCTAAAGTTCTACCCAGGGGACTAGTTTTTAAGGAATGGAGGAGTTGTTCGGTTTGGACTTGTGAACTCAAGCGAGTCCTTTGATGATGTTGAGTTATAAATATTGATACCTCTCATCTACATATTATATGCAGGGACGGATTTCTATTTGAAGAAGGTCATACAGCCAGTTTTTCTTTAGCCAAGTTTTATGGACAAGGAGGCAGACAGTTATGGCTAAGTATTTTTGTCTAACTTTTCAAATTTGCTGCAGGATTCAGTCTGTCCAGTTCTTCAAGTGATTCCATCAGTTCCTTCATGTAAACTCATTGAAGAAACATGCAAGAGGAAGTTCTCGATGCATTTTGATTATTGTACTACTGCCAGCATTGACTTTGTCATGTTAGATGAAGAAACTTTTGGCAACATCTTACAGGTGGATTCTTGCTTTGCTAATTCTTCGAAAATAGCTAAACAAGAATTAGGATTAACATTTTGCTCATTTCACCAGAGCATCATCTCTCGTAAAGATTTGGAATTGGTGGTCCACCTTTAAGTTTTAATGCTTTTTGGAAGAGCGAAATAATAACATTGTTTGGATTAATTTGTGCACGCCATATTAAGAATTAAAAAATGGAAGTCAGAGGATTTCTGGGCACTTGCTTTAGTTGGTTTTCCCAATTTCACCCCCCCTGGGCAGAATATATATAAAAAAGGTAAATCTGTGAAATTGAAAAAATGACGGAAAATGTAACAGTCGTTTTAAATGATATTTTTAGAGAGAGAGAGAGAGAGAGAGAGAGGTTTCTGTGCATTTTCTTGGTTGACCTGACCAAATGTCGTTAGTCTTGTTCAGTATACTGAGGTACTAAATACACTATAGTTCGACAATGGGCATTCATGTGGTGAAATGTGCATTTTGCAGCATCCAGATTTGACCATAACCTCTGAAGAAAGGGTTCTGAATGCTGTCTTGCTATGGTGCTTACGAGCACAAGAGTTGTTTGGATGGGAGAAAATTGATGAAATGCTGCTAATTTCAGCTCCTGAATCTCTTTTTGGGGAGAGGTTCGAGTCTCTAAATGTCCTATTACCTCGTGTGCGCTTCCCTCTGCTTCCATGCTCACTACTTGAGAAGGTGAGTGATGTAGATTTTGTATGCTTATCTGCCTGTTCATTGAAGCAGAAAGAGTTGACATGTCTTGTCCTGTAATCATCTTGCAGCTAGAAAGGAGCAACCTTAGCAGGCACATTCCTGCTTTTGATTACTTGGTGAGCCAAATTTGAGAGAAAGAAACATGATTAAAAGCCAATTGTTATTTTTAACATGCTAATAGCGTTGTTTAATGAACAATTTGACAGGTTAAAGAGGCCATTGCTTTCCTGGAACTTGGACATATGAAAGAACCAAAGTAAGTATAATCTGACGTTGGTGAAGGCTTGTAGCTAGACAAATAAATTCCCTTTTTTCTTCATGTCAAGTTTTTATGTTTGTCTCCAGATTCCCCACCAATGGGAAGAAAAACAGCATTTGACTGCACCTTGATTCTCTGCACTCATATGAACGTGTCTAGCATGATTAGTGGTCTATCCTGTGAATTGTTTGATTATTTGCCTTCATCATCATTTCATATTGTTTATACAATTTTGGCTTCAAATCCTGGGGACTTAAAGACTGCTTAATTTTTTTGTATTGGTCTGTTCTTTATTATTATTATCATTATTTTTACTTGCACTGTTTCATGCATGCTCCTTATTTTGTTTTCATTTGTTTTATTTTGTGTGCGTGTATCTTGTCGTGCCTGCTGCTTTTGTAATCTAGAACATTTATATTATGTCGGAGACATTGTAATGCTTCATATACTTGACCTGTGATGAGCTCCATTTCCTTGTAGAGTCAGGTTTCAACACAGGCAGACAAGCTTTAAGGAACTGCAGTACATATGTGATGGGGATAGCAATGGGGTTCTTTATTTTGCAGGCACATCATATGGCAAACACCAGTGGGTAAATCCTGTTCTTTCTAAGGTAAGCTTTCAACTGCTAATAATCCATTTTTTAAAATTTTTTTTGGTCCTTTATTAATTACTTACATCTAAAAGTGGAATCTTTTAGAAAGTGACTGTCACTGCTAGCAGTCCCACATCAAGATTCACTGACCCGAAAGTTTTGGCATCTAGGACTTATCAGGTATGATTTTAAATGAGCTAAACTTATTTTTTACCTTCAGCCCTACGAGTTTTTTTGCTGAATATAAAATGAGATAAGCTTCTTGGACCCCAGGGTACGTCTTTTGCAGGATCAAGGATGGGCGATGGAAGGAATACTTCATGGTGGATGGTTGACATAGGTCCTGGTCACCAGGTTTGACTACTTCACCTGAACTCGTCATTTTTTAACTGTAGTTTACAAAAAAAAAAAAGTGGTGCTGTTTTGAGCAACTAGATACTTGATGAGTTAGACAAACATTTCTACTCAAGGCTGAGGAACAAAGTATTATTTATGGATTACCCCGAACGTGTCAAAAACCCGCCTTCTCTTCGTCACCCACCCAAAAATCCCCTTCCTGGCTGCAAGTCTTGCACTTTCTTTTCTTCTGATACAGCATTTTGTAGTTGCTGAAACATGGCCTATTGACGTCCTAAACTTTTAGCGGGAGAAATCTAGGGTGGGATAAGGGAAGCGAGAAATTCCTGATGCAAGTTTTATTTATGGCTAATGCAGCTGATGTGCAACTATTACACGTTAAGGCAGGATGGATCAAAAGCTTTCATGCGATGTTGGAATTTTCAGGTAGAGCATATCTGCTAATGAACAACAAATTTAAGTATTTCCATGACTCCGTGTGCACTCGTACAATAATTCAGTTGCATGCATGCACAACTTAGCCATTTGATGGTTGATTGAGAGTGAGGTAACTAGAAGAAATGTTGGATGACATTTCAGGGCTCTTCGGATGGGAGGAACTGGACGAACTTGAGAATCCACGAAAATGATGAAACGCTTTGCAAGCCTGGTCAGTTTGCATCGTGGCCTATCAATGACCCCAACGCTCTGCTGCCCTTCAGATTCTTCAGAGTTATCATGACTGCTCCAACAACAGATGATACTAACCCGTGGAACTGTTGCATCTGCTTCTTGGAACTCTATGGCTACTTTCATTAACGCGGTTCTGTACCAACTAATAAAACTGCCCTAATAAAACTGGTGTTTTATTATCCATTACTACAATGCAAGCAAGAATGTACAGTTTCAAAGTTCCAGGTTGAAAATTAAACATGGGGTCGGTCTGGATGATCGAGGACGGTTTCTACATGCCCCTGAAGAACACTGATGCAACTTGATTTTCACTACCGAGTACTGACTTCTCCCCGTAATTGTCTGAGAGTGAGAAGTTGGAGATACGGGCAAACATTTTAACTCTTTCTTTTGCCTAGCAGTCGGGTTTTGTTACACTAGAAAAAGTTGCTGAACACCGCAAATAAATTATTATTATTAAAAAAAAAAAAAGAAAAAAAAACTGATCTGGGAAACGGTTTGCTTGCCTTCAGAATTGATAAAGGAAGTCGTAAAGAAGGAAAAAAATTTGCAACTACTTCCTAAGTTCCGAGATAAACCGAAAATCAATAAAGTTTTGATGGACGAGATTTGAGTATTCGCAGCGTGGTTGATTGACTTGTACCATTTTTGCTGCCAAATTATTTAACCAAATCTGGCAGTGACGGTAGAGCTATAACATGCATTATTGATGATTTAACTTTCCTTAATGAGGGACGGGATAGGACGCGGAAATGGCAGCTAATAAAGAGGTGTCTAATCAAAATTTTCTCGAAATCCTGCTGGGTTTTTTTTTATTATTTATTTATTGTTTTCTTTTGGGTGGACGGAGGTTGTGTTTTCACGTGGCACAGTGACGTGTGTGTGGGGAAGCATATACTTTGCTTCAATCAAAATCGCGAAGGAAAGAACGGCAGAGAAATCGTTTGTTGTACCATTTCCTGGGTGGGTGGGTCCCCCTCAGTACTGCGGCCCGGTGCGGTGTCGGACTGTTATCATGTGTGACTCGTTTTATAATCACCTGACCACATTTTATTTTAATATTCATTCTTCCATTGCCTCGCTCTTGTCTTTCAGTGGATGGTTTGAGTGAGAGTTGCTGTCGGAGGGGTGAAGTTTTGGAGGAAGAAGAAGAAGAAGAAGAAAATGCCAACTGCTTGTTGGAATTTGCTGTCGCAAACTGCTTTAGGGGCCTTAATGCCCTCTTCACTCAGTAAAGACGCATCAAAGGTATTTCATTTCCCAGTTTAGACAATTACTAAGGATAAAAATGCAATCTGGTTTTACGTTTGACCTGTTGTTAAGTGCTTTATCGTTCTTCCCACATGTTTTAGTGATGTTACTGGAATTGATTTCGGGGAGTTGGGGAGGGGCGGCGAAGGGAGGTGGAAGGTTTTGGTGGTCTAGGACTTCAGTGTTATGGAGGTTGGCAGGCCTTATGAGCAAAGTGCTGCTGTCAGCACTACCATCCCGAGAAGAAGATGATGATCGATGATAGATTGATAGCTCGTCTTGGTCAGCAGGAGCGTGTAGTAGCGGATGATCCTAGTTAGACTTCTTGTGCTTCAGAAACCAGTCTTGATGAGGTTATGCTGCGAAAAGCCAGAAACATTTGGCTGTAGAGGATATCGAAAAAGTTACATGAAATGATAGTAATGAATTTAAGTACGCTTTCAACTATCCGTATAACTTATCGTTCCTTCTGTTGCTTTTTTACATTTAAGCAGGTGTCAACAAGTAGCAGGTGTGGCATCTCAAAATGCCAAACTAGGCTCATTATTGGATCTTTCCGAGCTGCAGGGTTCCCTTCACCAAAGAGCTGTGTTAAACACGAAAGGGTATGTTTGTTTGTGGTCTTCTTCTTGATTTGCTTCCTCGGGAATGACTAGAGGGATTCTTCAAACAAATAGGTTGAACGCAGCTAACTTTAGAATTTCTTGTCTTGCCTAGACCGCATTACCAAGTTCATCATTCAACAAATTTGTGATAGTCCGTATCAAATGGAAAGAACTGAATACTATCTTTTCCGCAGCTAGAATCATGCCTTTTGCATTTCTTACATAAACTCAAGCGATGTAAAGTACGAGCCTCTTAGTTTTTATTTTATTTTTTTGGGTGAGGAGGACAGTTTGTTTTTGCAAATATTGGATTATATAACAGTATGATGGGTACAGGAGATAACTAGATTTTGGGTTACGCACAAAATAATCAAGACCTATTGTAAATTAATTGAGGAAAAAGCCATATACAGTATTTATGACGGTCATACTTTGGCTTTCAAAATAGACATCCACTAACAATTGTACCTTCTGGTGTATTTTCTCCATAGGTGCAACCTACTTCAGCTATCTCAGATATTTTGACAAATGACAACTCAACCATGTCAACAGCTGATGTAGAAACTGAGAATATTGGCCTCTTTGGCATGGATTCAGCATTGGAGTCATATAAGGATCACTTTAGATACAGAATAATGAGATATGTTGAGCAGAAAAAGCTCATTGAAACTTATGAAGGGAGCCTCGAGGAATTTGCGCAAGGTATTGATGAAATTGAATCTAACAAATAGCTCACTTTGTCATTGTTTTCAATGAGAGTATGTGTGACGTGAATATTAACATCTTTTCATGGTTTGCCAGCAAATTATTATGTAGTTAAGCATGTTTGTTACACTATCAGTACAAAAATTTTTATTAGGGTCAGATTTCTTCGTTCTACAAACTTAGTTTCTTTCTTGAACTAACTTTATTTTGGCTGATCTCTTAGGCTTCAACATGATTGTTAATGTGGTTTGTGTTTTTTAAACAGGGTATCTAAAATTTGGATTTAATAGAGAGAAAGGTTATATACTTTACCAAGAATGGGCCCCTGCTGCACAGTAAGTACCTTCAGGTTTATAGAACTACTTGCTTTTGCTTCCTCCCTTGCATATAAAGGTTTGGGGGCAATGCAGGTTGATTCTGATTTTTACCATTTGTAATTAATCTAAGTGTTCAACTTATCATCGATTATGAAGGGAAGCAGAAGTAATTGGTGATTTCAATGGATGGGATGGTTCGAACCACAGGATGGAAAAGAATCAATTTGGTGTATGGAGTATCAAGATTCCTGATTGCAATGGGAACCCAGCCATTCCACACAAATCGAGAGTCAAGTTCAGATTCAAGCATGGCAATGGAGATTGGATTGATCGAATTCCAGCCTGGATAAAGTATGCTACTGTAGACCCGGGAAAATTTGCTGCACCTTATGATGGTGTTTACTGGGATCCGCCACCGTCAGAAAGGTAACACTTATTATCTTGTTATTATGGTGTGAATCTGAAAATTATTATGTTAAACATTACTGATCATTAATCTTTTCCATACCATCATATATAGATGTGTACATCCATTCTAGATATGTTGTTGCAAGGCATATATTCTAGATATGTTCTAGAGATGTACATCTATTCTAGATATGTTTCCCTCTAGCCTTTTACGTGGTGCCAATTACCATTGCTATGTTTTCAGACAGTAAAAGTATGCAACTTGGAAAGGTTTTAATGCCTTCAGAAAAGAATCAAGATATTTGCTTTTCTGCTGACATGAAACTTGTTCAGTGCTTAGTTGTTAAAATTATGCAGGTATCAATTTAAATACCCTCGTCCTCCAAATCCCAAATCTACACGAATATATGAAGCACATGTTGGAATGAGCAGCTCGGAGCCGCGTATAAATTCATATCAAGAATTTGCAGATGATGTTTTGCCTCGAATTCAGGCAAATGGCTATAATACAGTACAGCTAATGGCCGTAATGGAGCATTCATACTATGCATCATTTGGCTATCATGTTACCAATTTCTTTGCTGCTAGTAGTAGATCTGGAACACCGGAGGACCTAAAGTATCTGATAGATAAAGCACACAGCTTAGGTTTGCGGGTATTAATGGATGTTGTTCATAGTCATACAAGTAACAATATCACTGATGGTCTTAATGGGTTTGATGTTGGGCAAAGCTCACAAGATTCATACTTCCATACTGGAGAGCGTGGGTATCATAAGTTGTGGGATAGCAGACTATTTAACTATGCCAACTGGGAAGTTCTTCGTTTCCTTCTGTCAAATCTTAGGTGGTGGATAGAGGAGTTCAATTTTGATGGATTTCGATTTGATGGAGTAACATCAATGTTATATCACCATCACGGGATTAACACGACATTCACAGGGAACTATAATGAGTACTTCAGTGAGGCCACAGATGTTGATGCTGTCGTATATATGATGTTGGCAAACCATTTGATTCACAAAATTCTGCCTGATGCTACTGTAGTAGCTGAAGATGTTTCTGGAATGCCGGGACTTTGTCGGCCTGTCTCTGACGGAGGAATTGGTTTTGACTACCGCTTAGCAATGGCAATCCCTGACAAATGGATTGATTACTTAAAGAACAAAAAAGACGAAGATTGGTCAATGAAGGAAATAACTTGCAGTTTAACTAACAGGAGATACACTGAAAAGTGCATAGCATATGCAGAGAGCCATGACCAGGTTGAAAAGTTTTGTGCTTTTTGCCCTCAAACATCAGTTATTCCATTCTCCAGGAGAACCAAGTCTTTTTTCCGGTCCTGATTTTTGTTTTTAGTTCCTCCATTCTGATTTTAACTTGGTAGCATACGAGTTGTGTCTTATGCTTCTTTTCTGTTGTTATTTTGAGTAGGCAATTGTTGGTGACAAGACAGTTGCCTTTTTCCTTATGGACAAGGAAATGTATTCCAACATGTCCTGTTTGACTGAAGCTCCTCCAGAAGTTGAGCGAGGAATTGCCCTTCACAAGGTTTGTTTGGACTCTTTGATGGCACAGTGTGTCGATTCTTTTATCTGAAAGGAAAAGGAAAACAAAGAAAAAGAAAAACCTAACACTTCTGCACTAGACTCTCTTTTATTTTAGCCACTTGTTTTTCTTTCTGTGAATTGTGATTTATTTCATCTCTCTCTTTTTCCTTTCTTTCTTTTTTCTTTCCCTTTTTTCTTTTTTTTTTTTGTTTGGGGGGGGGGTGGGGTGTGTGTTGGGGTCATGCGATGAGGTTTTGGGGTAAGGGGAGATGGGAATCAGAAAGTGTCAGTCTTGGTCAATGTCTTTAGTCTCATCCAATTCTATGCGACTCTGATTGTTGAAAAAGTTGCACGCAGATGATTCATTTTATAACTATGGCACTAGGAGGAGAAGGCTACCTTAATTTCATGGGAAACGAGGTAAGCAACCCGACCCTCTAGTTTGCAAGCATCATTACTACAGTAAAAATCAGATTGAGGTATTTGAAAATTGTACTCTGTATGAACTACATTGAACATGAATTTTGTCAAGAAAGCATGAAAAGAATTTTGGTACTTAAAAGAAGGTAGCTGAATTTCTAACAAGTAATATAAATTATGGTAGACGTATATAAAATGCTCTTACAGCTGACGAGGAAACAAAACCATAATGTAGAATTTGGTTCAAGGACAAGACTGCTAGATATCTGCTCTTACCTCCCTTGTTTTAATTTTTCGTTAATCTGGACAATGGAGAGTTTCCATACAAAGCTGCATGGAGGGGAATAATGGATCTCTCATGTGCTTCTGTTGCAGTAGTATAAGACTACTATTAAGTGATGCTCTACCACCTGTTGTAGTTTGGCCATCCCGAATGGATTGACTTTCCAAGAGAAGGCAATGGTTGGAGTTATGAGAAATGCAGACGCCAGTGGGACCTTGTGGATACAGATCACTTGAGATACAAGGTCCAGAGATCCTGTTCTTTGTCAGTATTAATCTGCTATCATCCTATTGTTTAGGCACATTCTTGTGTTAATCTCTGGCAATATACATGCAACTTCTGTTCCTATCTGCTAGTAATATGTAATTCCATACTGCTTTTGTATATAATTTCATGATTCCATTGTCAAGAAATTCACCACAAATATGTTGTAACTACATCTTTCATAACCATAATGTTCTTCAATGTCATTCTTCTGTGTGGTAAGAAGCGTCTTTCAGCAACTTTATCTCATCTCCTGTTTACGTTAGCAATTCCATAAATTGGATCTTAAAGTAACTGACTTCTAAATTTAACTTGTCCCATCTGTTCTTTGTATGCAGTTCATGAATGCTTTTGACAAAGCTATGAATTTGCTTGATGAGGAGTTCTCTTTCCTTGCTTCATCCAAACAAATAGTGAGCAGCATAAATGAAGAAGACAAGGTAGAGGAGAGAGGTGTTTAAATGAGATGAGGAATGTTGTTGCAGTTATATCGTTATCATCATCGTGAATGAAGATGGGGGAGGGTTGGGTTGGGTGGTAAGCGGGGAGGGATTGTAAGTAGGAGGTCCTGGATTCAAGACCTCCTACTTACAAAAAAAGGGGGAGGGGGAGGTAAGGGTTGGGTTGGGTGGGTAAGGTGGGAGGGATTTAAAAAAAAAAAAAAAAAAGGAATGAAGTTGAAAAACCATAGGATTGTACTATACGATGTTAAAATGCGATCATGTGTTGTCCATGGACACAAATGCCGTTTTGCCACCAAGCTCTTTATACTTATCAGATTGCTGTAATTTTTGTTTGTTTGTTTGTTTAATTTTTTATTTTTTAAGTTTTTTTGCATTGACCTACAGGTGGGGTAGATTTTTATCTCTCTTTCATTGGATCAACTGTTCATTTAGATGATTGTCTGGTCCAGGTCATTGTATTCGAACGTGGAGATCTGGTATTTGTCTTTAACTTCCATCCAGAGAATATGTACGATGGGTAGGGATGCCTTTCACTATCCTATTCATTGCTTCTCTTGTGGTGTGGCTGTAGAATTAATGAAATCTGAGTGAGTTGAACCAAAGCTAATTTTTATACATATTTTGAAACTGCTCAAGTTCGTGCTGTGGTTATCCAGGTACAAAGTCGGGTGTGACTTGCCTGGAAAATACAGAGTTGCTCTGGATAGTGATGCTTGGGAATTTGGTGGGCACGGAAGGGTAAGAAATTCTGTGGAACTATTTGTTCTGTTTACAAAAACATGTCTTTTAACCAATCAGGGGTCAGTAGACCTCTAAAAATCCCAAAAAAGTGTAAATTGCTGTTCAGTTTCATTAACATGATCTCAACCATTAGCAAATTTGCTCCACCTGATAAGGACTTGTGCTTGTTTCCCTTGTCATATGATCTCTTCTGATAGGTGGGGCATGATGTGGACCACTTTACAACCCCTGAAGGCGTACCTGGAGTCCCTGAAACAAATTTCAATAATCGCCCAAACTCCTTCAAAGTACTCTCCCCACCTCGGACAGCCTTGGTAAGACTCTACAACGTTATTCTTGCTAACAGTATTTACTCCTAAAACACATTTTTCTCCACTTGGTCTCCAAATAAAGCACATTTTTCTCCACTTTTTCTCCAAATTTTCTAAATTAGTGATAACAGTAGGAATAAGCACAGAGCACATTTATTTTTTCATTCACTGCTTCTTCTTCAGCAGGATGTTTGTTTTGAATTGTCTTTGCTTCTATGAATTTATCTGCTTTGGCATGTAAGGGAAAATATGTCCTAATTGTGATACTCAGACCCCCTCACAGTTTAATCCAATGATTCCAATATCTATGTATAGTTAACCTGATCTACGAGACTTGGTGAAGTGCACTCCAGTTGTGATGCTATGTTGTCCTTGTTAATATATGATCAAAACTTCATAAACAGTTGATTTTGAGGGTGATGTTGTAGTAGTAACTTGGGCTGCTTGTGTTATACTCGAGATTGACCCAAACCTACCCTGATTGCTTTGTATCCTCTTTAGGTTTATTATATGGTTGAAGAAACATTAGAAGAGAACAATCACAATAAGTCAACCACCTTCAGTGAGGCCGGTACAGCAACTCTGGTGGAGGATGAGGAGAATATCAAAAAACTCGCTTCTGCTGACAAGTCAGGCAGTTTCAGTGAGAGCAGTACGACTGGTAGGTTGGAGAATGAAGAGCGAGAATTTGCCTCTTCTGAAAACAGAGGAGTTGTTTCCAGTGAGGCGGAAGGTCCGAACTAAAAGCAATCAAAGATGAGCTTGCTGATGATTGATGGCCTGGTTCGTAACCAGATTACATCTGTCAATCAGACTCAGCATATATCAGACTCAGCATATGTAGAATTGTACATACATCTAGACATGGTGACGAACATAATAAACTTCGGATCCCAACAACGTGTAAATTTCTCTGGGGATATTAAGGTGTGTGTATCTATTTTCCAGATTACATCAATATACAAGCTAAACTTTTTAGTGAAGATCTCAGGGGATTTCCTTGCAGTTTGTTAAATTCTGACTAAAATTTGGCTTTTATATTTGTAGTAAATTGAAGAATGCTTTGTCTGGGATGGTACTGTTCTTAAATTGTTACCGGGCAGGCAATATCTAGATCTTTTTAATCCAAGCTTCTCCATAACAAGTTTCTGATAAGAGGCTCCTTGTGTTGAGCGTGTCGTTTTTTATACCTAGACTACTGTTGTAGCCAAACTTCTTCAACCAAGCTCTTGAATACTGAGCGATCTTGGCAACTGTGGTCTTCTAATCTATTTCTTGGTAAAGAACATTATAGAAAATTTGGCTCTATGTTAATTAATAGTTTAATCAAGCAGAAAAAGGGGATTACCCTTGAATGAGTATGAAACAGTGGTCAGAAAAATGGATGCTCTCTACCATTAGTACGATAATCAGTACATGGAATGGTGAACTCAATCGCCAACTGTAGAGAACCAGAAAACATTTGTTGTCCAATAAATCTGAGCAAGATTTACAACACACCAAGGTGGTAGCTGAAAGCTGCAATTACGGTTAGGCCAGCCAGGCCATTCATGCGTAATTGTGATTCGCAGAATGTAGCAAGTGAAGGCTCAAAATTCCATTTAGGCACCAACATCAGATAATTACATTTGAGCTATGAGTTACATAGCCTCTAATTTCGAAAGTCAGCAAAGCATCATAACATTCATATATTAGTTACTAATAGTACTATATATATATATATATATATTAATCTTCCAATTTTCAATCCTCAAATTTTCACTTTAGAAACTAAATCTACCATTGGAAAGCTAGCAAAACAAATTCAGAAACCAAAAAAAAAAAAAAAAAACTCCAATTTCTCCACAATCTGAATTTAAACCTCAAATTTTCCTACCCCGTCTGACTCCAATTTTCTGCTGTCCCACCCCAACAGATCTTTCAACATTTGCAAAAGCCAAAGGTGGCTTCTTGTTCTCCTTACTGGTAGTGCTCCTCAGCAAATACCTGGAGCTTGAAGCCTGACTCCTGTCCACGGTTGGAGAAGAAGGAACCGTTTTCCTCAAGCTTTCAAACCTCTTGGCCTCCCCTCTTCTTTTAGCGGACTCAACCCTGACACCAAGATCATAACCATGCCCGGCCTTCTTCCCATCCCCTGTTTCCCCCACCTTCTTCCTCTTCAACCTCTCGTTCCTTCTCGCGGAGTACTCCTCATAGAACCTTCCCCTTTCAAACAAAGTACTCCTATTAACACTCATGCTAGTACCAACCAAACCAGCATCAGCCCAGTCTGCGCTGGAAAACTCCTGATGCACCATTTCTGCCAAAGCCCTCAATTCACAAGAAATGGTACGGTACTCTGGGCGAACACCCAATTCCAGTTCTTCAATCTCACAAGCACCTTTAGGCAACTGGGATTTCGTTAAAGAACCTAATTTTGCAAAGAAATTTCACAAAGATCGAGAACAATAAGAAATGCATAATATAAAAATTCCCATCTTAAAAATGAAAAAGAATCGAGAGTTTCCAGTTCCAAGAAAGAAGCATAGAAGCACCTGGTGGGGTTTGGATGGTGTTTGTATTGGACTGAAGAGGACGGCGAGGTCGGAGGCGAAGGTGGATTGGGGATCTGGCCAGTGGAGGCTTGCGAGATGATGGCATCATCTTGTTGGAGGTGAAAAATGATGATCTAACGCTTCTGTTAAGTACTACTTAGAATAGTATGAACCTCGAGGGATCAGCAAAGTAGGAGGGATGACGAGGGATTAATATAATTTGATTGGAATAAAAGCAGAGGGTTCAGGATGGATAGTTGATGGGGGATGAGACGGTGGTGCTAATCTGTCTGAAATGATTTAAGGAGATTGTTTTAGGAGGGGAGGGAGACGTGATTAGTTTTCGAATTCTAGTGAAAGAGACGGGGAGCGCTTCCAAGTTCCAACGGTCATATTCAACTTAAATTAAGCGATTTGGACGGATAATAAACAAGTTTACGTTTTTGGTCCTCTTCTGACTTCTCGTTGCATCCTTTACATTTCCAACCCTTCACCTTTTAATCTCGTCACTAATTCTAACGATTTTATATCCTCGTACACTTTTTTGGTAATTTTTCATATCACACTATGTGTAAGAACATACTCGTTTCAACCAACTCAATTTGACATTATACTTATTGGGTCGAATTTAAAAAGGATGACAGATTAAATATGATTTTTTTTATCAGCTATAGTTATAAACAAATCAATTGAAAGTACTTTATAGAGGTCGTATTAAATTTTGTAGAGAGGAAAGGAGAGGAGAGTCACCTCACTCTAAGGTTAGGACATATATAATTAACGAATGAACTGACTTAAATTATTCTTACAAATCAACTATGGAGGGCATTTTAATTAATAACGAGATTCACTCCTAACACAAGAATCAAGTCCTTGCCCACTAAATCAAAACGTGTTGATGGATTCAATCTGGTGGAGGGTTACGGTGTAATATTAAATCAGGTGAAATGTTAGGGATTCCACTTATTCCCATAAATCAACAAATATAAGCTCCCATCTTTACGATGATACTACTCAGAACATAAAACTATTCCAAGTTACAATTATAAAAGTCATCCATGCTTGCTGCTCAACCAAATTGCACTAGATATAAAATTCCGTTTGAGACACGTCTTTTTTTGTAGATTTGTGTAAAGAAGAAGCAGATGGTAGGTATATTGCTGATGTTCTCAAATCTTGACCCTGAATTTGGTGCTGTTTTGAGGCCTCGAATTTCTCAACTTGAACTGGAATTAATACACCACTTACCAAACGGTTACACAGCTGGTCGTCATACAAGTTAACAAACAATAAATCTCCTCAATTTAAAAGGTTCTCCACCCGTATACTATTTCGGCGGGAGTCCTGCATCATCCGTCAGATGATCACGCATGACTCTTCTTCGTTTTGGTTTGGGTCCTCCTTGATTACGCATGATTCAGTTGGCTTCTTACGCAAGTATATTCCCAAGTCTAAAATTTTGTCCCTCGTCCAATTCTTGGTAGCCCACCACGTTCCAAGAAGAACCAAAATCATCCAATTACGTAAGTAAAGCTCAGTAGTAGCATTGTTCAATTCACGTCTTTCAACTTCTTTAAAGTTTATGGTTTAAATAAAACAAAGGGGCATTCGGTGTCCTCATGGGCTGGGCATAATCATATAAATATGGAATCTTGTGACCCCGAGTCTACTAGCACTTGGCCACGCTCATGGCCATGGACATTCACATGCCAAAATCCCGTGCACCAAACCAGGAGAACAGAACAATAGCGATTATAGGTGCCGGAGTTAGCGGCTTGCTTGCCTGCAAATACGCACTACAAAAGGGCTTCTCTCCGACAGTCTTTGAAGCTCGGAGTTCCATCGGGGGAGTATGGTCCAGGACTTGCGACTCTACTAAGCTGCAGACTCCCAAAAACCACTACCGCTTTTCAGATTTTGCATGGTCAGATTCAGTAAAAGAGGCCTTCCCTGATCACAACCAAGTTAGGGAGTACATCTACTCGTACGCTCTTCACTTCAACATCCTTCCACATATCAAGTTCAATTGTAAAGTCGTCAGCGTTGATTATTTATGTACATCATCTGAAGAGGACATGTCTTCATGGGAACTCTGGGCTGGCACTGGTGAGGCCTTCTCACCTAAAGGAAAATGGCATGTCAGCGTACAGGATTTGCAAACCTCAGCAGATACCACTCAGGTACTCAATCTTCCCATTTTTTATTTTTTATTTTTGAAAAGATTAGGCACTCAATCTTTATTTAGGTATTTTCTTATGAATCATGGAGCTTCAATTTGTACTCTCGAAATCTCCTTTATCCAAAGAGACTACATGCATGCACGTATACGGTTTTATTCTGTGTATATCTGTATTATTATTATTAGTAGCAGGATCATCTTGTAATTATTTTTGGTTTTCCTCCCCTGCTACGTGTTTTTGAAGTTCTTTTCTTTTTATTCATATGGGAAAGAGCAGATATCTTGGCTAAAGTAACAGTTGTAGCATGAAATGTGTGGTAACTGAAATATAAAAAAGAAGTTACATATAAAACGAATATATTCTAAATTAAAGTGAAGCAGAAAAAGGGTATCTTCATCTTGATTTGTTGCCAGGTATACCAATTTGATTTTGTAATCTTGTGCCTTGGGAAGTTCAGTGGCCTAGCCAACATCCCACAATTTTCAATGAACAAAGGGCCAGAGGTATTTGACGGTGAAGTCATGCACTCTATGGACTATGCTGCAATGGACAATGCAGCTGAATTCATCAAGAACAAGCGCGTCACAATAGTTGGATTCCAGAAATCTGCAATCGATATTGGAACCGAAATTGCAAAAGTGAATGGTAGGTCTAAGCATTCTTTTCAATTTTCTGTTCATTTTTCTTTTCTCCCCATCTACTGCAAAATACGCTGGTGAGAAGACTGGTTTATTATGGTACCTCCTAAGATGTTTGAAATTTTGGTGGAAGGCTTTCTACCACACAAATTAGATAAACTCAGGACCGACAATAATTCATCTTTGCAGGGGCAAAGCATCCGTGCACATTGCTATTCAGGACTGCACACTGGTCAGTCCCTGAAAATTTGGTTGAATTCATTTTCCGGAACCTGAATAGAGTCTCAGAGCTTACTGTCCATAAGCCTGATGAAGCTTTCTTCCTGTGGCTCTTAGCTGCTCTGCTCTCACCCCTGGTAACACCTTCTTCTTTGCCTTGAGTAATTACATTTTAGTAATGAGAAAATCCTCCTCCAGTTTTGTACAATCGTGGCTTCTCGATCCATTCGTCTTTCTAGTTTCACAATGACAACACCTAAAAGACAAAGTAAGAAGCCAAGAAAATCTCAATACGATTAGAGTAAAATCAAAGTTATGACTTCAGTAAGACTAATAAGCCACTAACCAACCTTTGAGAGTGTGATTTCAGCTATGGATATATTCAAAGGTCATCGAGAATTATCTCAAGTGGCTATACCCCCTGGCAAAATATGATATCATTCCGGAACACGGCTTCCTCGGGCAGATTCGTTCCTGTATGTTGACAGTCTTGCCAGCTGACTTCTATGAAATAGTTAGAGAAGGTTGCCTAATCCTGAAAAAGGCACAAACTTTCAGCTTCTGCCAAACTGGAGTAGTTGTAGATGATGAAGATGTGCCCCTGGAAACGGATATAGTCATCTTTGCAACGGGATATAAAAGCGACCAGAAATTTGCCAGTGTTTTTAAGTCAATCGACTTTCAGAAATACTTGCTTGGATCATCAGCTCCTTTCTACAGGTATTCAAACCAACCTTGCTAAGTTTCCTTTAGCAATGCTACACAAGCAAACCGAAACCAATGCAAAATTTCGCATTTTCCCCTCTTTGTGACTACATGACAGGGAATGCATCCATCCAAAGATACCACAGTTGGCAATAGTAGGATACTCGGAGAGTCATGCGACAATATACACCACTGAGATAAGGGCCAAATGGCTAGCACATTTTCTTGAAGGAAATTTTCGGCTCCCAACAATAAGAGAGATGGAACACAACGTGATGAGATGGGAAAAATGCATGCGCCGGTATACCGATCCAAACTTTAAAAGAGGTTGCGTTAGTGTAATGCTACAGATATACTGCAATGATGAAATATGCAGGGACATGAATTGCAATCCTAGACGAAAGAAATCCATTCTGTCTGAGCTTTTTGCACCTTATGGTCCATCCGACTACGCTGATCTAAGTAGCTTGGGCAGAGAAGAATGACTGGAAAGGAATTTGAAACCCTTCATAGAATTGCTCTACTTCTTTCAATAAATTGCTTTCTCAAAAGCGCGCTAGTTTCCAAATACGAGCCCAGAAGGCATATAATACTTGTTTGATGAACGTTAATTCAACTAGGGACTTTAATCAAATCTATCAATCAGCAGATTATTTATCCACCGAAGTTACAGGCTCTCTCTTGCCTATCCAATCTCTCGAATTCAAACAACTCTCAAATGCTTACATGACATGTACTTCTAATGTTCTTTATAGTATACGCTTCTCATATTACATTTCTTCTGCATACTCCTAGAAGTAACTGATCTAATTCCAAAGACCACTTAAATTTAACCTACTAGTCATTTAAAGTAATAAATTTAGAGCTCCTTGTTATATAAAAGTAAAATTAGCATTAACAATAAATACAAGCACTCCCTGTTATGAAACAACTTAAAAAAGAGGTGGATGTCCATTGAGTTTTCCTGAAATATGAAACGACTGACTATTCAGTTCCCCTATGGATCTTGTAACTTTTCTTGTAATTAGAGGTTGACCATTTAGTTCCCTTATGTTTTGTTCCCTATAAATAGAGGTCATCCAACCTCTCTTGTAACCTTTGAGAGCACTTGAGAGAATAATACTCTTTGATAGTCATGTTTTCCTTTTTCGTCTGTACCAAATTATAGTCCACCTTCCAATTGAAAAATGTAGTTGTATTTTAATTTTTCTAAAATACCCTTATTCAATGTAAGTTATTGTTACTATAAACCTACCTCATTTAATGAGAGTTTATTCTTTTTTTACCGTCAATTCAAGTTCCCATAAAGTTATACTATAATTAATGTGAGGGTATTTTAGGAAAATAGCGACCTAAATTGATTGTTCTAACAAAGTTAATTACTTTTTGTTCAACTGTGTGAAAAAAAATCAGGACTGTCAAAGTGGGACGGAGGGAGTAGAATGTTTTTGTTTGGATAGAGTATTATTTCAAATAATTACTATAATACATTTTGTAATGTGATGTATGTGAGATAAAAAAAATGGTAGGAAATATAGAAAGGTAGATTAAAAAATGTGTTTATGATGCAAGCGAAAATTTATTTTGAAAAAATTTGCTATCTACATCTCCGTGCTCTACTCTCTTCGGCACTTTTGTTATTAGTATTAGTATTAGTACTCTACTTTAGTATTAGCTTTACGATACTTTTATTAGTACGAGTCTCTATTTTTAGACCAAGATGAAGTATAAGAATGTGCTTTTGAGCAATCAAGTGCAAATATATACTATTGAGCAATTATTGAGCACAAGTACCATACATTTGGGAAAATTTTGAAGTAACATTTCCTTTTGAGTTCCATTTATTTCTTTATTATTTATATTACAAAAGTGTACTTGTGCATCTTAATATTTTTGAAAAAGAAATTTTTTTTTATGAAAAAGAAATAGATGACAAATATTTGGGATTAAAGAATGATAATGTGATATTTGTCTCATTGATAGTGTAACTACACACACTATATTTAAAAATAAAGTGTATTTTTCTATTTGACAGTGGAAGAAATAACTGTTAATACAATAAGTGGTAGTACTAATTTAATTGAACATTTCAGAAGAGCCATTGTATTTCTTTCTAAAAGAATTAAATTTGTGATAAATAATATATTGCTCTCTATTAAGTTTTGAAAAAAATTGCTGAGTTTTAAAAATGAGTAAATCTTATATACACTAACGGTGTATACACTATTATAGTTGAATATACAATACATATGCAAAATTTGAGTTTCAAATTCAAATTCGAATTATGTATCATGTATCTAATCATGAAAGTGTATATACTGTCAGTGTATAGAAAATTAAAAATATCCGTCAAAATGGATACTTTTTTCCTAAAAAAAAAGACTTTCTTGTTGTAAAACTAATCAACTACTATAGAATGAATAGAGATATTAGAGAAAGAATTAGAGAAAAGGAAAATGATATTCTTATATTCCAATGAATACTAAAAGTCCTACTAAAGGATGTCAATGTACCTCTATATATAGGTACTATAAGATTAAAGGAATATCAATCCTATTAAACATCCACTATTACAAGAATATGAAGAAACTTATGAAACGGTTTCTCCACTACATGAGTAGATTTATGGATTGTAACTTCTATACATAATATAGTCATAAATCGTGAATTAATTCTCTTGGGAATACAAAGGGACATCCACACTTTAAATTGTTTCATAACACTCCCCCTTGGATATCCATTATGCAAAGAATATGCCTCGTTAAAATCTTACTAGAGAAAAATCCATCGGGACAAAAATCCTAGTGAAGGAAAAAGAGTACACTATTCCTATGTATTAATTTTTTCCCCTGATGCAAACATCATTTGAGATTTTTTAATCGTCAGATTTCAATATTTTTCAATTGCATTGAGATATGGTACTTTCAGGACCAAGTGTCTTTTCATCTTCCTCTTGTCGTCTAAAAGGATCCTTATTAGGATCTAATGATCTGACGACCATTGGAGTATTTAATGTATATGTTTTATCCATATGAAATCGCTTTAATACCTTCTAAGTATATGCAGTTTGGTGGATAAAAATTTCACTTTTCAAATGTTTAATTTGTAAACCAAGGAATTTTATTTTTTCAAAATCTTTGATATCAAATTCCTTCTTCAAATATTCAATATTATTTTGAATATTTTCAGGAGTTCCAATCAGATTTAAATCATCAATATATATATAGCAATGATCACAAAATTTGATCCATTTTTCTTGATAAAAACACATCGACATATTGGATCATTTGTATAATCTTCTTTAACTAAACATTCATTGAAGCGGTTATACCACATATATCCAGATTGTTTGAATCCATACAAAGACCTTTGTAATTTAATAGAATAAATATCTTTAAGATTTGATTTGCATGCTTCAGGCATGTTGAATCCTTCGGGGATTCTTATATAAATATAATTTTTAAGATTCCCATATAAATATGCAGTAACGACGTCCATTAGACGCATATCTAATTTTTCATGTATTGCAAAACTCACAAGATATCTAAATGTGATAGCATCCACTACAGGTGAATACGTTTCATCATAATCAAATTCAGACATTTGTGAAAATTCTTGGGTTACAAGTCTTGTTTTATACCTTACAATCTCATTTTTCTCATTTCTTTTTCTCACAAATACCCATTTATATTCTATTGACTTTACACCTGTAGTCCAAACACTTTTCTTTTAACCAGTTATTCCAATTCAGATTGAATCGTATTTTTTTATTTTGGCCAATCATTTCTATATCGACATTCATCAACCGATTTAGATTTATGATTCTCATCAATTTTTATAATATCAAGTGTTACATTTCATCAGACTCTAATTAAATTTTCTATGATTTCGTTCTCTTCAGGAGTTGGCTCTTCAGGAGGGACCTCTTCAAGAGATTGAATTTTGTCATGACATTTAATCTCCGGAGATATTTGAAATCAATTTATACCTTATTTAGGTAGATTGGCCTTAAATTTATTTGTAGCACTTGTGTATGTCCTTCAAGGATATCAATTTTAACCAGAGTATTTTCTGCAGGAATAGTTAATTTAATGACTCTTTTAGAGTCGATAAATATAACTGATAATTGGTTTGCAACTTTCTGCAAATGAATAATCTCTTGAACTTCCAGTTCACGTTATTTTGTATGAGGATCGAGAAAATTCAATTTTTTTAAATAATTTCCTTTTGGTTGATCTTTTCCCCCCTAATGTCGGGAATCGTAATTCATCAGAATAAATAAATCATTCAATAGATCACCCATCAATATTTTACGATATTTAATCATGAAAGGTGATTCATACCCAACATAAATTTTAAATTTCTTTCGGAGTCATATAAAATATAAAGAGGATATGTATAAATACTTGTCGACTCTTACATATTTTTACTTTTACCAAATCATATATCCATTGGGATCAGTAAACTTCTGATTTACTGCAATTGATGATTATAAAATCAAAATGAGAATGAAGACAACTATATCGATAACCATTTCTCTCTCGAATGATTATTATGATATAATTAACCTTTATCTCCCTTGATTTCTAAACATGATCTCTATTATTGTCTCATTTAGTGTCTCAATTTGATATCCATTTCGATGGATATTCAAATTCAATAAATTTTTTGATATATGATAAAAAGTAGTGTTTTATTTATTATAAACTTTTCTCCTACGGGGAGAAATATAACAGTGGTTCTTCTGGAGTTTTCAATCACTTAAACACTACCACTGATTGTGTTTGTCTCTTTTGTTGAAAAATAGTGTATATAGTAGCATTTATTAGCGAGACACATATCATTGTCACCATAATTCTTATGGAACAAATATCATCATCATAATCCTTTGATCCCAAATGTTTAACATCCATTTCTTCTTCAGGAAGAAAAGTTAATTAAATCAATCATCATACACCTTCAGGGTGTTTAAAGAAATTGGCCATGTGAAGATGATATTATAATTTTGATTCGTCAAATGTACTTCAGGACATTTATCTTCAGAATTCTTATTTTCTTGTCCTTATCATTATTATCTCACTTTAAGTGGTAACTTTTTCTCTTGTCATAGTAAAATATATACTTATCAAAATCATAGTCATGGCAACAACCATAACTAATAAATTGAAATTCAGTCGGATTCACTTTTGGAAATGGACTAGAAATAGCATGCAATAAGTACAAAATACTTCTCAAAATTTCTCTTAATATTGCTACTACATGAGCATATTCGAGAAATCAATTGTGGAGAATATCATTTTCAATATATCTCATGAGTAAAATTTTCTCGATACAATTTCAACTGAGAAGTAATTGTGAAAATTGCATAATTATGTTCTTGTAGCCACCGGTAAATTTATCATACCAGGCTTTTGAAATAATGACCATCTTCTAGTGGCTAAATATTTTCGTTAAAGAACGACCATCTTCAGGTGATCGAATCTTTTTCTTTAAGTATTTCAAAGGACAAGT